TGAATACGGGCCCAGGCCTATATCTCAAAAATTAAGCATGTCATAATCACAAAATTAGTAAGATTTTTATAAAAATAAAAAAAAAGGTTCACAATGTAGCCTAATAAGCCTCATTTTCTTTTAATAAAACTATAATTGTTTTGTGCTCAAATGTATTATATTGAAAGATTATTATTATTATAAACATAATAATAAATAATTGTTTTAAATTATGTGCTGGTATTACATTATAACCTGTTATTACAGTATAAGTTGCCACAATGTGTTCATAATGTAATAAATTTCTCAAACAATAACCTATTACATTATGTGAAAAATTGTTATTACATTTAAAAATTATATTATTACATTATGAGCTCAAGATTTTCTTACGTTTTGAGAAAATTATTACATTATGAACATTTTATTACAATAATAATGTAATACTTCTTACATTATGTGCAGTTTTTACATTATGTGCAGTTTTTACATTATGAGTTGCTACACCCGTCCATGCAATGAATGCACGTTAAAGGAGCAGGTTTTTTTAGAAAAAAACCTATACATTTGTGTAGAATATAAACAAGTTTTTATAACAACCATTTAAATGACTATCCCCAAGCTTTCACAGACAAGGCTTAAGCTTAAGGCTTAAGTCTGAGCTGGTGCACGTTAAAGGAGCAGGTTTTTTTAGAAAAAAACCTGCTCAGGTAATTTCAGTGGTAGGCTATGATACATACTCATGTATTAAAATCCTCGTTAACTCGCAAACTCCCCGTGATAGTGCGCAAATATTTCTGCCCGTTTTCACTCGTTGTCAGCCTCTGGTTTTCTGCAACAGACTGAAGCCTCCGCGCGAATTCAGCGCGCCTTTCTTTCAGTTAATAAAAGAAAAATGCTGCAATTTTCTGGTGTTATTTTATGATTGTTGGGGCAATATCCAGCTGTATCTTAAACTTCTCGAAATACCGAAGTCCGCTTCAGATTGGTTTTAATCACTGCACAAAAATTAACACAATCTTTATCTAATTCTGATTGGGTGGGCAAGACAGTCATTT